TCTGAGCTACGACCCCAGGTACATCATGGAATTTACCACCGAATTTGCTCCTGGCCTCAGAAATCATGCCCAGAATCTCAATGTTCATTCAAAAAAAGTTTTGTCCCTTTATGCTTGCAGACATAATCTTAAAATGTGAACCGTGTAAACCAAGATAGCAATGCCTGCCTGAGTCTGCAGAGAGTCTGAAACAATCGCGTTGAGAGGTGTGAACTGAACCATTCACCTCAGTCAGGGCCCAGTGGACTCTGCAATTCCGTATCTGTGGAATTTGGCATTCTCCTAAGATCCCCTGAAGTTCAGCAGTTTTGCTGGAGAATTTGCCATTTTGTTACAGCCAAGCACCTGATTTTGAGTCTGTCTCCCCACCCTTCTGGAACCTGCCTCTTGCTCTCCAGATTTCTCCACAAGAGGGCATTTATTGGAATTCATGTTCTGCACTGTACCATGCAACTGGGCAGCAGGGGGTTGGGAAGCCAGAGCTGGAGGCCAGCTTACAGCCAGGCAAAGGGGAGCCAGAAGCGTAGGCTGGCAAGCTAGGCGGCCTGGAGAACAAACAGTACAGCCACCAGGACCTTGGGAGCCAGGGTAATGACCTGCTGAAGATAGGTATAAGCTTCCCCTTCCCTGGCACACATGAGGGGGAAAGGAGGTGCTGAGCCTGGCTGCCGAAGAACACTGTGGGAGCTAAACCTCTTGGGAGAGTACAGAGAAAGAACCCATCCTTGAAAACTATTGTCCATGAATTTCACATCCGTGAGCATCTTCAGGTCTGGGCCAGTGCACGTGTGGGGATTGAGGAGAGGGGAACAAAAGGGTGATCAGTTAATGTCACAGTGAATTTTAGGGGTTGTGGCTGCAGAGTTTGATCTCCCCGTGAAATGGAGTCCAGGGGGCCCTGACTACCAGACATGAATTCATTATCCTATGCATTTATTTGAGAAGCACACTGAGGCATAGAGAGGTTAACGCCCAGGGCTGTACATTAGGTGGGGCCAGAAATGTGAAGAGAAACTAGAAGTCCTGACCCCAGCAGCCACAAAACTAGGTTAGCTCTTATTCCCCCAAGTAGAGGGGGATCCCGGATGGTACAGGGCCTGTGCAGTCAACTCTATACCACTCCTTCCCAGCCCCACTGGTGCAGCTGGCATGGTTGGGGGAAGGGGCGAGAGAGAGTGTGACTAGAGCACCATTGGACTCCAAAGATACCTAGCTCCTTCGAGGCTAAGGCCCAGTGCAACTTAGAGCAACCCGTACGCTACTCTAACTTGCTCCAGAAACTGAGCCAGGCCATGGCCAGCTCAGAACTGGGAGGGCATAAAGATGGCTTCAAGCCACCTCTGCTCTACTCCAGCCCAGTCCCAAGGATCTAGCACCAGGTCTCTTGCTTTAATTACTACATCACACTGGCCCAAGGTAGGCTGAGGAGATAGTAGAGGTCTGGAAAGTCAATTTAGCAACTCAACTAGTTAAGGAATCCCACTCATTTGTCTTTAAGCATTAACAAAACCAACTTCTAGCATTAAATGTAGTTCTTCCTTATGCTGTCGACTGCTAAAAATAGCTGCCAGTCATTCAGTACATGCATACAGTACACCGATGTTATCCGCTCTGTTTTTACTGGCTCTTTGTTTTCTGGAAGTTTATTTTATAGATAGAAAAGTGCTCTGCTAAGATGAAAAAAACCCATCCTCTTAACTGCATCACTTTTCTGGTCTCCCTTACGTTCTCCCACAGATCCCACGCTCTCTCCTTTCTTTCATTCATTAGAGCCCTAGTTCTAAAAAAAACGCCTTTCTGTTTCCGTCAGGTTTGTGTGCACTTTGTTTTATGCATGACTTGGGATGCATATCATTGTAAGTCTGATTCAGACCACAGGCTCTGGGACATTTTGTGTGTGTGCAATGTGTGCTGATGTTCACCCTTGTGCTCTCTACACACTACCACCCCACCCTCCCAGCCACACAGCAATTTCAGGATTTAACATTAAAACCAAAGATTTAGTTAGGTAAGAATAAAAATCATAAAGGACAAAAGTAGAAAATAATATGTCTAGAACCCCTAAGTCTGTGGCCCTGTGCCACAACCATGTCACAGATACACGGTCCTCTTAGAAATCACTGAAAAATATGCCAATATGGACTATTAACATGGCGGTGTTTTTCACAGATTCTAAGGCCAGAAAGGGCCATTCTGACTATCTAGTCTGACCTCCTGTATAACACAGGCCATAGTATTTCAACCAAATGACTCCAGCATCAAGCCCATACCTGCTGGTTGACCTAGAGCTAGACAGACATCCATTTTTAATGATGGAGAATCTACCACCATCAGGTGATGGAGAATCTACCACGTCCCCAGGGAAGTTGTGGTAATGGTTAAAAACTTGCTTCTGAATTTGTCTAGCTTCATTCAGCTTCCAGACACTGGATCTTGTAATGCCTTTTTTGTCAGGGTCAGATCTTCCATATCTCAAATGGGGTCATAGTTTATGCACACTTGACTGGTCTTATCAAAGCCTGACCCACTTGCTGAGATGTACGTTAGACTTACCAAGGCCCATGCACCCACACCGGGTTATAGTTAAACTGTCTGGGTTTTTTAATCTGCCCTTGGAGCAAGCAGTTTTGCTGGATATTAAAAGGACATTAATCTAGGGGAGCATGAACTTTGTCCTGTCAGGAGCCAAAGGGATGCACCTAATTAGCACAAGGACAGGTTGATTCCAGCCATCCTCCTCCTTGAAATAGAGATGAGAGCCGCGGCGACCACAGGTCCTACCATGTAACACTCCATCTTGATCAGTGTGCCCATTCTCTGCATTGAGATGGAGCAGTGCATGATGGGACCTGTAGCAGCACCTCAGCAGTAAAGGAGATGGTGGCCCAGAGCACATGTATGGAGTAATAACAGTTGTAGCAATAGGACTTTCTTGGCAGCCTTCAGATTAGAAAGTGCTCTTTAGACACCTCTGCTTTAGCCTGAGACTCAGCCTTCCTTGATCACTTTCGCCATCGAGAAACCAAACACTGGGATTTACTGTTAAGTCTCACAGTGAACAAACCAGTGCACGTGAAAACGGAGTGGAGGAAGGGGAGAACTGCTGGTATTTCTATCACCTCTGGGACACAACAATCAGCCAGGAAACCGCTACTCTCCTCCCTGCCCCACAGAAAGCTCTTGTTCCCACTCCCTCCTACTGATGGCCTGGCCCATCTGCCTCTCCTTTCCCCCTCACCAGCCAGGCCCTGGGAGGTATTTAGCTGGTGATAACCTCCTCCCTCAGTTTCAGCTACTGGGAAGGGTGTTCGTGAATGAGGGCCTCCAGCCAGTGCCACCCTTCTACTTTTGCCTGCACATGGGCTGGGGGGTTGAGTGTGTTGGGTGAAATCACAGCACTATTGAAGTCAATGGAAGTTTTGCCACTGATTTCAACAGGGCCAGGATTTGGCTCATTATTTTTAGTTCATGTCCCAGTCTCTCTCTGAATGCTCTGCAGAGGTTCTCCACAAAGGGTACAGAGAGCCCAATGCTGCTAGTGCGCCCCGAGACTCAAAGTCTCAAAGGAAGCTTGTAATAGGATAGAGCCCAAGAGCACAGGCTGGTTAGTGCCTTTAGGAAAAGAAAGTACATTATATAGCAGCATACAGGAAGGGTCTCTGTGTAATGGTTACAAGGCTTTAGATCATTGGGCTAGACTACTGTACCAGCTTCTCACCAGGGCTGTGGGTCTCAGTGGAAGGATATATAAGCAAGCCAAATACCTAGAACACTTACATTAAGAATATTTCCATAACTATCATATTAGCTCACTGTTAACTATGAGCGTGCCTCTTCTAATGCTAATAACTTCCAGGCTGGTCCAAACCCCACTGAAGTCAATGGGAGATTCTCTGGCAACGTCAGTGGGCTTTGGATAATTTTCATCCGGAGCCATGGATCCCAAAGCACTTTGCAAACTATTAACAAAGGAACAGCTTCACCAATGACTGAAAAGCAGTTACTTCCGGGGTGAAACCCAACACCTTTTAACGGTTCCATGCAACAGTTTAGGAGAGATGGTCAGGAAGGATATTATAAGCAGCTGAAAACAAAGGGGCCATTTTTAAATAGGCAGAACGCCTTTTAAAACGAAGGAGTCCTGCCTTTCCTTTTTGTGGAGTTTGACAACCTACACATTCACTCCTGGAGAGGCAGTCAGCCTTAGACACTGAAAAAGAGATGAAAAATCTTCCCCAAAAGAGGACAGCTCACATTTTTTCAGTGTAGAAAACAGCATCCCTGCTGAACCAGAAACATGTTTAATGAGCAGGCACCATCTCTGAATTCTGCTTCCTTTTGTTTTACTCTGTAGGTTTTATCCAAGAGAAGAATCCCATTTGCTATTCTTTAGACTAGCATTACACTATTAAATGCACCATTTCACCTTGTTTCCCTTTTATTGAATGTCGACTTCCAAACTCCTGGTGGCAGTTGTTCTTCCAATTCTACCGCCTAATTTCCTTCTCCTTGCAAGCAGGCCTGCTGCCACTGTACCTCACTAATAGCTTTGGCATCTGTACGCTGGAAAGCACCCATCTTCATGCTAAAATAAATCGCTGCCACCCCTTTTACTCTTAATTCACTACCAATTTTTTTGGTTAAATCTGTTGGTGGTTTCTCTTTGCTCCTGGGTCCTACATTTAAGCTTTATTGCGCCTCACTGGGCATTGCAAAGCAGAGCACTTTATCTGGTCTTATTTGTCTCGATTATGGGTTTCTGAACTTTAATTAGACATGAGGTAGCAAAGCCTGCTCTGCTATCCCCTCCCCTCCCCTCCCCAAAGAGTGCATAGGCTAGTGCCATCTGCTGATGGGAAGGCATATTGCACATTTACAGTTTCTCTTGTCTCGTAACAGCGCACATTATTTTCATATGCACGCACACCGATTTAAAAAAAATAAAAACCAAAAATGAAATCATGCCATCAGAGAAATTACTCAAATAAGTGCCATTTTACCTGGAATGTAGAAGTTCTCACCTGGGAAAGCTGTGATGGGTTCTGCAAAGGGAAAATAATATTCTGATTTTAGAAAGGAGAATGTTTAAAACAAACAGAAGATCACATCGGATGCGTCCCTAGTTACTTATCAGTGACATCTCCTCAGGCCCGACATTGGCATCTGTTACCCCTGTGACTAAATGGGGAGCCCTAATCCAATGGTTCCCAAACTTTTTATTAAGGCGATGCACCAACTGTATATAAATTCCTGGGTGGGGCCCAAAATCATACACCAGCGTCCTTCTCCTCCTCCGCTGCGTTCTCCTGGCCATGTGAGGAGGCACTCACCACCTGTAGCTACACCCTCTGCCCCGGCGCTGCAGCCCTAATTCTGGCCTGGGGTCGAGGAGAGGCCCAGGGTGGGGTGGAGGAGGAAGGTTTTGGAGAGCAAGCCTGCCCTGCACCCACCTGGCAGTAGCAGCTCTTGCCCACGGGATTGGGCCCAGCTCCCCATACTGGGTGTTGTGACCTGGCCTGCTGGGTCGCAGCGCCACTCAGTTTTGGCCTGGCTGCTGAAGCAGGACAGGAGCTGATGCTGTGGGGTGAGTGCGGGGTGGGCTTGCTCTCCAAACCGCTTGTCCAGGCCTCCTCCACACTGGGCCCCACAAGCCACTGTCTGGGAACAGGGTTACCACCTGGCCAGAATTTGACTGGTCTGGCTGGTTTTTTATGGATTTGCCAGTTGCCAGAAAAATAATGTAATCTGCCAGGTTTTTTTTTAATGTGGGTCTAAAGATTTGCATTATTATCACAATACACTGGGATAGCTGATGTTAAAAGTTTCTGTGTCCAGCTAAAGATGCTGCAGTGTTCCCACTTCCGCAGTTTAAGTGATAACAGATCAAAATTGTTGAAAATACAGCATCTGTCTGCCCACCAATACGCACGCGCGTGTGTTAGAGAGGGTTTGAGTCATGAGATGTGCGAGGCATATGGACGATCAAGGCAATGGTGCAAGTGATCCTACTAGACGCCCGGAAAAAAAAAAGTTTGAATCAGAAACTGCACATTCAGTGACAATGGGCTAAACGAAACAGCCTACAAAGATTGGCTTGCAAAATGTGCTGATAAAACAAATGCCCATTTGTTATCAATGAAGTTATCAATCATTACCTCTCTATATAGATACTATAAGTGGCTGTTGAAGGGGGTGTTGTGGAGTTACCTTGTTGTTGGGGTTGTGGTAGGCTTGCCTTGGCGGGCCAGGGGGGATAGAGTTTTTTTTTGCATTTAAAAGGTGGTAACCCTATCTAGGAAACACTGCGATAACTCACAGGAGCCCCTCAATGGAAGCAGGGGTGTGGATTTCACAATATTGCAGAGGCCCCTCTTCCATAGACTTATAGACTTTAAGGCCAGAAGAGACCATCATGATCATCTAGTCTCACCTCCTGCACATTGCAGGCCACAGAACCTCACCCACCCACTCCTGAAATTGACCCCTCACGTCTGGCTGAGTTACTGAAGTCCTCAAATCATGGTTTAAAGACTTCAAGTTACAGAGAATCCACCATTTACACTAGTTTAAACCTGCAAATGACTTGGGCCCCATGCTGCAGAAGAAGGCAAAAAAAACCAACCCCAGGGTCTCTGCCAATCTGACCTGCAGGAAAATTCCTTCCCAACCCCAAATATGGTGATCAGTTAGACCCCGAGCATGGGGGCAAGATCCACCAGGCAGATACCCGGGAAAGAATTCTCTGTAGTAACTCAGAGCCCTCCCATCTAGTGTCCCATCTCCAGCCATTGGGAATTTTTGCTACTGGCCATTACCCATGGGCCACATGCCATCATAGGCAGTCTGAGATTGGCCTGAGCTAAAAAGTTGGATTTAGATCCAGACTTCAGGGTACAATATGCCCCAAGTTCAGAAGTGTTTGAATTCAGGGATTCACTCATCACAGAAATAGGAGCCTGCTACCAAATCCCAATCTGAATCAGTGTTCAGATTCCAAAACACCCTGAAAGGTGGGTGGTGTTTGGGTCTGGGTTCCAGCCCATCTCTAGTTTCAATTTTCACAGGTCACGTCACTTCTGGCTAGCCATGCATCCCTCTGTCTTACAATACCAATAAACAAAGGAGCGTGATTTTTGCAGTTACTTTGAAGAAGTGATCTGTTACAAATTACTGGATCTGAAAAGCAATAATCAGTGCTTATTAGTGATTATTTGCTCTCAAAAGTAATAGACTTCTGAGTATTTTTAGATTACTTCTGCATTACGCCTGTGAGTCACAGAACCAGGCTGTGGCTGTACAGAGCACTGTGAAATTATCGCTCAAGTTCAGAACACGAGTGACAGGTTTTCGAAAGGAAAAAATTATTGAGAGTTAGAGTTCTTTTCAGGCTAAAAAGGAATCCGATTACTTCCCAGGATTACATTTTAAAAACAGTAGCCTGTTACCCTTGTCAGTTATTTTTATGGTGCTGACAAAGAGGGAATGTGGTATGCGCATATTGTTTCATATTACTATGGTGGCTTCAGAAGTGACCTTACAGCTGAAATAGCGTTACATTTTTCAGTTAAAACCATTTAAAAATCCCTTTGTCAGGCATGATCAAAACCAAAATATCACCATTTACTATTAGGTTCATAGGTCCAGATTTAAGTTCCTGAAAAGATACAAGTAAATCTATGTAGCAGTTTGAAGCAATTTTTAGAGCTAGTGTCTAACAGTTTTTGGACCTTTATGACTTACAAAGGGCTTTGTTTTAACACTTAAAGCTTTTCTTACATGTAGATGAAAACAAAATATTGGCTATTCAGGCAAGTTTGAGTATTTTAAAAAAGCTAGAAAAGAAAAGTTATTAGCATTATTCATCATTCGTGTTTCTTTCTTATGCTATGGACGCCATGCCATGTTTGTCAAATGCCAGCACAGAATTTTTCACATGCAACATTAGCTCTTCTGGCACGAGGGCAAGCGGTCAGTAGAGTTCAAAGCTTCAAAGAAACTTGGACCCACGGAGCTCAGAACCACTCCAGGACAAGCAGTTGACCTCTATTCTATTCTATTCTATTCTATTCAGGTTCTTGTACTGCCCTCATCACCGCAGTATCTGAGCCTTCCAGCAGTGCATTAAGCAACGTGACTAACAACTGTCATGTGTGGTTCATTTTCTCGCTCGTCCTAGTGCCCTATCTTGCTGAATTTAGGAGGCCCCTGGCAACCTGTGCAGAGACATCTTGCTGATGCGAACCTTTTTAAGTCCACCTTGGGCTACGGCCAGCTCCAATGGAAAGACTCTGATTTCAGTCCAGTTGGGTGTGGCCCTTTAGGAGGTGTGTAACAGCCAAGCACTTCTCCTGCCGCTGTACAGAATGGGAGGCCCACTCCCATGGACATCTGCCAACACAGAGCCTACTAATTAGATATTTTACGTAGTCCAACTCCACCCGCCGCTCCTCTAGGGCCAGACCCTGCCGGGACATCTTGGCAGACTCTATCCCATGTTCATTATCTGGGGACTGCCATTATCTAAATACAATAGAGGGACGGGTAGGCTAGATGGATGAACGGTTGAATTACCATTCCTCTAATAAACGTTTTTAAAGCTTATGTAGCTTTCATGTTTAATGAACCTGTCTACCTGACTTTTGCCCTGGACTGGGAAATGATGAATTCTAGCACAAGCTTCTCTTTCATTATTGTGTTAACACTGCTATAAAACCCCTCTGCTATTTATTTCTCATTAGAAAAGGCTCCTATTGAACCCATCAGCCCCTCCAAGCATGTAATGCTGACTGGCAGCTGGTTTCCTGTGTCTAGCACTTTCCTTTTAAATTTTGTGTATGTCCTTTTTATACAGAGTATTCTTTAATAACCCCACCTATTGTTTCAGCCCTCCTCTGTAGACATATATATTCCCCTTGATGCCTATGACACCAGTACCTATGTTCCCTAGGGACTTATTTTCCCTGATTTCCTTCAGATGCAAAGAGTAGCTTTATGGAAATCCAGAAAATCACTATAGCTCAGGCAGGAGAAGAGTTCCAGTCCCTTGGCAGAATCCTAGAAACAAAGGCTCTCATGAACTGGACTACTTTTGCTGCATGCAACAGTGATTCCTTGTCTCATTTTGTGCAGCCGAGAGGATACCAGAATCACCGGGTGTAATTCCATGAGCTGCGTTATGCTGGAGGTCAGACTAGATGTCACAAAGATCCATTCTGGCCCTAAAAATCTATAAGTCTGCGAGACAGATGTTTACGTACCCATACAATTCTCTAGGGAGATATCGGAGCCAATCCGGATGTCATCGATGGCAATTTCTCCCGAATCTCCTTTGCGTATAACACCGTCGAACACAATCTACGAGCAAATCAGAACAGAAATGTCACCGTTAGGCTTCCACTCCCAAGCAGTGCACGCAGTCCTTGTTCCCCTGGGAGAAAGAGCTGAAAATGTGCTCCCCGCTTTTCAGTCACACCTGAGAAGCTAATGGCCAGGGGCCAAATGCTGGCGTCCTTACCCGGTTTTACCAGTCCTCACTGTGGCAAAACTTCCATTGGCAGTGAGAGTTCTGTCTGAGTAGGGACTGAGTAAAAATTCAGGGAGTTCATCATTTGGCCCATCAATTGACAGCTGGACTCCCAACTCGCAGTTTATTTGAATAAAACGCATTTTTCAGGGACTACAAAACAGGGCGATGGACTTGGGGTTTCATTGGTTATCCTGGGCTCAGCAGGACTGAATCAGCATAGTTCCAGGGAAGTCAATGGAGCAACATGGATTTATACAGCCGAGGAGCTAGCTGATTGAGTTAATACTGGACACAGGACATGATAAAAAAGAGGTTTAATACCTGGAGTAAGTTTAAAGTGATAATAGTTAGCTGTGAAAAATGCTGAGTGAAAATACCTGCATTATTTAAGTAATATTCAGTTAGTTAGTTAATGGCTGTACATCATTTTTAACATGCAAAGTACTATCCAAATGCCAAGTACCCTATCTGTAAGCACATTGCGTGCATTGGTATTTTATTAAAAAGCCAAAGGAACGCACACAAACCAGCCATACATCTCCAGGGACACCGGTGCAAAGACCATTGCTTCCTTTCCACTGATAACTTGAAGCCCAGTCCTGCAGTCCTCACAGAAGCAAAACCCCCCTGACCTCAACTGGGAGTTTTGCAGGAGTCGAGACTGCAGGGTCAGACTAAGTTCCACGGGGCGGGGACCATGTTTTCCCTTCTGTTTTGGACAATGCTGAGCACAGTGACTCAATAATAAGTAAGAATAGGCAGCACATGTTCTCTGGCTAGCTGGCTGAGTTTTGGCTTGCCTTACCAGCCAACTGTAACTGCTCTTTGGCTGGAGAAGAGATTGATACGCTGTTCTGCAAACCCTTTCATTAACTTCACAATGGGGTGCTGGCAGTTTTGGAGAGGTTTTGCAGGACGGGGCACATGGGTTGTATCTATCTGGGCCTGATCCTCTTCTCACTGACACAATGGAGGCAGTATCGGGCCCTTAAGTTTGCTTGCCTTGAATGCCTTCTGGTCTCAAGGTGCACACAGACCTGATTTCACCCTCCCCCATCCGCAACACCCAGACTTGGAGCCAAGGTCAGGAAAGTGGTGTTTGCTTTTTTTTCATTCACTTTTTCAAAGTGGGCTCCCTCCCTCCCACCTCCCCACCTTGCTGCTGGCAGGATTTGTTTGTGTTTGCTCCTTAGGGCTTTGTGTCTCTTGTCAGATTACCTGATAATCATCTAAAAGAAAAGGGAGGAAAATATTTGTAAAAGGGGACATTTCAGGAATATAAAAGGCAACAGGATGAACAAAGACCTAAGTCTGTGTATAAAGACAGGCACATTCTGAATAACAAATAGAGTGTTATTTAGTTACTATAGCAACATAAGAAATACAATGAAAACCGCTCCGCTCGACAACGTTCCCTAATGATGAATGGGCACAGCCCTTTGAAATATTGACATAACTATCACTAAAAGCCACTGGAAGCTCAGAACAAATGGCCCTTTATCATCTTACTTGATAGGCCATATCGTAGCTTGGCAGAATGATCCGTCCCTCTTTCCACTCATCCCCTTGGTCTTCCGAGATGATCCACAACAGCTTTTTCTCCTGGCTCGCTTCCCGCCACACCTGCAGCATTATCCCACTCCCGCCCGATGCTTGGTACTGGAACACCATGCAGACAGCACTCCTGGGCAAGTAGATCATGGGGCTGAGGAGCCGGGTGTGCTGTTCCTCTCTCCCTCCACTGCTCTGCGGCCGCAAGTAGCTTTTACTCTCTGTTCAAGGAGAAAAAGAAGTAAAACCTGATCAGATCACCTCTTAGCGTTTGTAATGAATGTTACACCTTCCAGTTCTCAGCTGGAGAGGATAGCAAGCACAGCTGATGGCACTTCATAGTTCTCATCCAAAGGAGAAGTTCTCCAATAGGAACCCAACGTTGTCCCAGAGGGTTGATTACTTTTCCACCTGTTAGTTGGACCAATTTTCAAATCCAGGTAGTTAAGTTAGGGCACTTGGATCTATACCTGGATGCTCAAATGGGAACAAGAGCCCTAAATGGGTCTTTGGGTGCCCATGTTGATTTGAGTACCCACGGGCAAAGTTGGGTGCTCTAACTTAGGTATTCAGGTTTGAAAACGGAGCCCACAATACATTCTTTGTGTGATGCTTCATCTCTTGGTTCGTCTAAAGGACATCAACTCATATTTTGCTTCATGGAGTAGGCTGGTCCTTAGAACCTACACTGTGGACATTAAGGGGCACCCTTTTTGAGTATCATATAGTAATTGAAACTCACACACAATTGTTTAGTGAGTCATTTGCTGTATAGAGCCAGATGAACTTCATATTCAGATTCAAACATATCCCCAACAGGGCCGTAGCAACAAAGAACGTGGCCCCCTCCGAACGGTGGCCCCCTCCGAACATATGTCCGGGCGGGGCCCCTTACAATGCAGAAACTGGAATGCGGTATTTATTTTGACACTTTTAGGGGCCCCCTTCCTTGCAGGGCCCCCTCCGGTCGGAGGGCGCTCGCTACGCCTCTGATCCCCAAACTGGGATTTCCTTTTTATTTGGAACATGAATACTGGGCTTAATTTCTACTGGTGCTGAATCAAAAAATGGGCAGAAAGAATAAGTGTGTCCATTCTTGCTGTATGTCCAGCATGAACTAGCTCAGAACATAGTCTCAGAGGATTCACAACAGGGATCCCAACAAAATACTCTGGGCAATATTTAGGGCAATCCTGAGGTGTTTCTCATTTTAAAAACAAACAAAAACACTGCTGCACATTCATTCAGCACCGTTTCATGGAGGGGAGATACACAGGGTGGTAGCTGTTGGGAGGGAGAGACTGGAATAACAAATAAACTGAGAACTTTGTTCCTGCTGTTGGGAAGCCTGAGACGTATGTCTGTGAAGTGAAAACCAATAGTGACAGAAACATTCTAGAGAAAAGAATTCTGTGACAAGATCAGGATTTTACAGGGACTGGGACAAAACTAGCCCTGCCAAGGGCAACATTGCAAACAATCCAGATAAATCAAGAGATATTACTGGGAGTTAGAAAACCTAGGCTGTACCAAGCATACACTCAGTACTTCTGTGGAGTTTAGTGTTTGAAAGAGAAATACCCACTGTATAAATAAAAAGCCTGAGCAGTAAGGGAGATTTCACCAGCAGCCATAGTGCGGTAGGATACCAATAATGACACTGGAAGGCATAAGCCAAAGATTGACGTAATTAGGACAAGTTTCAGTGCAGTTCTAGTCAGAAAAAATGACTCTATAATAATGACATTGTGGGGGGGTTCATATTTATTCTGCCTGAAATTTGCTTAGCTTACAAGCTTGAAGTTGATTTTTCTAACCGCCAGCATTGCAAACGCATCTTACTATCTGGATATCAAGCTTATCAAGCTGTGTTCTTTGTGACTCTTTTCATCACCAGCGGTAAGTACTTTGCAATCAAAACCTAGCTGACAATTTTGTTGATGATACGTGAGGCAGAATAAACCCAGCTCTCCGTTTTTCCATGCTGTAGCTGGATTGGCCCTGAAGTGCAAATAAGAGATCAAACTTGTTTTTGTAAGAAAAATAAGCAAATATGACTCAGACAGTATTAAACACCAGGAGCAGGTGTGTTGAGTACAGTGATGCTTTTTTAAAACACACAAGTCACTTTTCAGACTATAACCATATAACAATCCCTAGGGAGGAGGAACAGATAGCAGTACTTATAAAGGCCAACCACATCTGATCACACAGGCGAAGTCCACAGATGTAACTGGACTCGGAAATGCATGTAGCAGCGAAAGGCGTTTAGCATGGCACTTGGCTGGGTTGATCTAGGCTACTCGATATCTTTATCTAACCCATGGCATTAAAATAAATTCCACAAAAGAACCATGTGGTCCCCTCTATGCGCTACTCCTGCAATACAATATGTGGAAGCCCTGGAATTCTGAAATACATTGAATTTAGAAGGAAAGTTACTGCTGATATTACTGTACTTTATGTGCCAGTTCTTCTGCTTATCCAATACAAAAATGAACACAGCTACTCTATAGCTGGTATTTGTCATTAGCATACATATGGCAGCCCTTTTCTCCTTTCCTTCACTCTGACACGGATACCACCAGGCTTAGTGATGTGTAGTTTCCTCTCCCTACTGCACTCCTGCTGTCTTAGCTCCTTTGACCTTGATGGGTAGGATTTTGAAAAGCTCTTAATTGGCCTAAGTCTGCTCCCATTGAAGTTTTACCACCAATATCAACAGAAGAATTAGTTCAACACTAAGCAATTTGAAAATCAGACCAAATGTATCTCCAGAACTTAAAACAGAGACCTGTAGATTGACTGAACTCAGGTTTCAAAACACCAAAAGGCAGATCCCTCCCCTCCCACCCAAAAAAACCCATACAATCAATTTTCTACTGCTGCTGCAACAGCTAAATGAAGTTAAAGTCAAATTTTGTCTGACCAAAATACCAAACTTTTGTGTGCTTCCTGGACATATGATCAAAAAGTAACAGAGACACATTCATTCCTTGAGAAATTCCACTGACTTCACATGAATTTGTCCACTTTGTCCACTTTAATGCAAACATCAGCAGAGAAAAGATCAAAGAGTGTTTGCCAAGTCCCAGCTGAATGAAAATCATTTGAAAAAGTACCATGCTGTTCTCTAATGGAGGAGGGACTAGTGATTCACTACAGAGTGGTGGTGGAGGAGGAGAAGATGCAAGAGATAAACAAGTGGAGGAAGCAAAAAGAACAAGCTGTACTTCACGCATAAGCAGTGATAAGATATAATCAGTCGCCAAGGTCTCCAGAATTCAAATTCTCTTTCTATAATTCACCACCAGTCTTTTCAAAGGAAAAACAAAACCAAACAAACAAACAAAAAAATACCCTCAAAAGAAAAAAAACAAACAGCAACAGTATAATTATCTTGAAGCTAAAACTGCTTCCCAGGCAAGTCACCCCGTCATGAATAAAAAACACCACTTGGATTTCTGAGTTTTTAGCACTTTCTGAAAATGGAGTATATTTGACTGTATCCTCATCCTCCATGTGTTGCTTGACTTCTTAGACTTTGATCCTGCCATGAGATCCTTGTGTCCCTGGAGAGATCCAGTCAAGTCAACGGGGCTCTGTCTGGTACCAGGGGCTGTCTGGTGGATCCAATTGCAGAACTGGTGCCTTGAACTGTAAGCTGTTTGGGGTAGGGATGTCTTCCTATGTGTTTGTACAGCACCTAGCACAATGGGGCCTCGATCCTAAATGTGGCCTCTGCATACCTAGCTTCCCAAAGCTAGAGTCAATCCTCATTTAGGCATCTAAATAAAAGTGGCCTCATTAAGTGAGGTGCTGAGCAACCCTAGCTCCCACTGAAGGTCTTGAAGATGGTCAAAGGCTCTGAAAAAACCAGGAGGTTGCACAAATTACATAGTTGAAGAAAACATGGCACCGGCACCTTGCTTCGTGCACATGCACACATTGATCTGGCTGTGCATCACGCCACCGCTGGGCCAGGAAAACAGCCTGGGCTAAATCCAGCCCTGGAGAAAATATGTTGACTTCAGCAGAATTGTGTCTACTTATATAGCAGGGCTGATTTGACCTGTTAACTCTTCCCATTTCCAGCAGTGTGTGTAATCAAAGAATCTTCTGAAATGCTGCCAAAAACAATCCAATATCGCCTCAACACAACCTCTTTCAGAGATGTAGTAGCCTGCTGAAACTCTAAGTTCCCTGTGTTTATAAGGACTCTCGGCTGATCTCTTTTTGGAGTGATAAAGTGCTGCCTTGACCTATTTGAACAATACCAAGTAGTATGATTCACAGGTGTGCTCATTCTTTGGGCAATTCCATCAACTGCTCCCCTGCAGTGGACAGCGGGTTTTGTTGGGATGTGTTTTTGTGCTTTATAATGCAGTTTAGAGAGACTAGTTGAGCAAAGGCAGACATTACTTGCTATGCCATTTGAACATGAAGCTAGTGGGTCATTCTAATGGCTGGAGGGACCTTAATGAAAAGCCTTGTGAACATGCTGAGACCAACTAAACAAGGCCACCGCAGAGCTAATTGCTGACTCAGCATGTCTGAGCCTCGCTGTTCCAGTAGTTGATATTTTTGACACAGTTAATGGAAGGCTTGCAGCGCAGAGAAGACACCTGAAAGAAAATCTCTTGTGTTGCTAAAACATTTGAAGAAAGGCTATACAGAAGATTTGATCAATCCTTTCAGGATCAAAAAATGCATTTCAGCCACTTCCCTGGATCTTTGACTCAAAGCATCTGTTCTTGCTAATGACACAGTCGATAAGGCTCCCACAGAACTGGGATCAGAGGTTCAAAAGGCCAGCTCGCAGGACAAATATGTTCAGGCATCTTAGCCTACTGCTGTTTCTGCAATCGGTGCTTCTGTCACTTCCCATGGAGATTTATGGATGCATCTGGATTTAGTAGAGCAAGAGCAGCGTGAACATGCAACCGTCACCGACCAGACAACAGCATAATCAATTATATGTGCACCTTAGTGAGCCCCAGATCAATCAGAAGACTGATCCTCCAAACAAACCATCTGGAAATCCAAACAAACCATCTGGCCAACACACACTTCTTTTGGCTAGCACCTTCCCCTCCTACTAGCAAGCCATCTGAGAGCGTATTAGGTGCAGCAGGAGATGAAGTCTCACAGCTCAGGTCATGCTTAAATCATGAGTTGGTACAGCAGCTTATCTCACAAGGTCAATCTATCTGTACTTGGT